AAAGTGAGACTGTCTTAAGAAAAAAAAAAAAGAAAGAAAAGCAACAAAGGAATTTTTAAAAAAACTAATTTAAATATATAATTTCTTTTCTTTCTTTTTGTGACAGAGTCTCATTTTGTCACCCTCAGTACAGTGCCATGGCATCATAGCTCACAGCAACCCCAAACTCTTGGTCTTAAGCAATTCTCTTGCCTCAGCCTCCCAGGTAGCTGGGACTACAGGCGCCCGACACAATGTCCAGCTATTTTTTGGTTGCAGTTGTCATTGTTGTTTAGCAGGTTGGGGTTGGATTGGAGCCCACCAGCTCCAGTGTACGTGGGCTGGTGCCCCAGCTGCTGAGCTGTAGGCACCAAACCTAAATATGTAATTTCTTTTACAAATCAGGGCAACTCCCATGTTAGTGAATGAGACCATAGTATTTATGTTACATTTAATCCAGTTGTTTATTTGAGAAACTATAGCATTTCTTAAATTGAGAGCTCTTATAAGAGAACAAATGAGCTGTGTTTCAATACAAGTGGAATTAAAGTTAGAAATTATTCACTGATAAATGGGTATGAAAATTTATTCTAATTTATTCAGCCAGTCTTTCCTACTTAAGAACTGCATGCTGTATGTGTTGGGTTCAATGCTCCCACCCTGGGAGTGGAAGGGTGGGCATTGTCAATGGAGTATACAGTGTACAACTTGCTATAATCTCATTTACAATTTAACTCCTCAATATTATTAGGTACTTTAACTTTACAGTCCTAGATTTTTTAAAGAGAATGATACATGAAATTCCAGGCATCCAGTTACTCACTTAATCACTGACATTTAAACAAACTCGGCTCTCACACTAAAAACAATAACAACACCTTCCCCGACTCCACTTCCCCCTCCAGTTAATGCCTTCTTTCTCTTCACAACTACACTTCTCACAAGTTTGCTGTTCTATTTATAACCTCTCTAACCACTGCCTTCTAATCTGACTTTCTTTCTCTCTCTTTCTTCTCTCTCTCTCTTTTTTTTTTGACAGAGTCTCACTCCATCACCCTGGATGGAGTAACCTGGTGTCACAGCTCACAGTGACCTCAAACTCTTGGGCTCAATTGATCCTCTTGCCTCAGTCTCCCAAGTAGCTGGGACTATAGGCACCCACCACAACACCCGGCCAGTTTTAGTACAGAAGGGGTCTTGCTCTTGCTCAGGCTGGTCTCAAACTTATGAGCTCAAGCAATCCACCTGCCTCAGCCTCCCAGAGTGTAATCTGACTTTCTACCATGGACTTTGGTCCTCATTTTATTCCATTTGTTCCTTCTTGAGACACTCCTGCTTCCACATTCTCCCGATATTTCCCCACCTACAGGGCCTCTTTTGTAGATTCCCTATTGTGTGTTATTATTTTCTCAAAGCTCAAGTCCTAAGCCCCCTTTTCATTTTATTTTCTAAACTTTAGTGAGGCAATCTCATCCAACATCTCCCAAATTTATATTTTCTTCCCAGACTGCTCCTCTGAGCTCCAGGTCTGCGTATCTAATGCCATATGCTCCATCACTGGGAGACTCACAGACTCCTCACACTCCACACCTTCTGAACTGAACCATGATCCTCACTTCATCATGCCTGTGCCAGAGCTCAGCGAGTGGCACTGTAACCCACTCAGCTGCATAATCCAGAGGTCTGGGGATTGGTTTTGAAACTCCCTTCATTGTAGCCCTGTCCCTTGCAATAGTATCCAGTACATTACCAATCCCTTCTAAATATCCCTCGGATTTACCCACATCTCTGCTTCAGTGCTACTGGCAACCTAATCCTGATTAACATCTTTTCCCGCCTGGGCTCCTGCAGCCTGGGCTCCTGCAGCGGCTGCCTAACTGGCTTTGCACATCTCTCCCTTCCTTTTTTCTTTCTTTTCTTTTTTTTTTTTTTACTTCAGATTAATATGAGGATACAAATGTTTAGGTTACACTGTTTTCAATTCTAAGGTAAAGTTTAAATTGTAGTTGAGCTCTTCACCCAGGAGACGTGCTTATAACACATCCCCCCTTTCTAGCTCAGTCTGTCCTCTGCAATACAACCAGGATCATCTTTTTAAAATGCAAGTCTGATTAAGTCATTTGGATGCTTAAAACCCTTCATGCGTCACATTACCTGCAGTAGAAAGTTTATGCTCTGAATACCTTTCCAGACCCATCTGGCTCCCTTACTCCTGGTATACTAACTTCCAGCCCTTGCTCCCTTAATTCTGGTATACTAACTTCCTGTTGCTCTAATGGTAATGGGCCATGTTCCTTCTCAGCCACAGGTGCTAGGACAGCTCTTCACCTTGTTTGAAACTCTTCTCCCTCTGAAACTCCTATTCAATGGACCAGATATAAAGTCACTTGTGCACAGAAGCCTTCTCTGACTCTTGAGACTAATCAGATTCCCTTGTTTTAATACTCTCATAGTACTCACTTTCTTTTTGTAGCGAGGATCATCACTTATATTTGCATATTTTGTTGTATAGTGATTTGATTAGTATTTGTCTTGCCCACTAATCTGATTAATGAGGGATGCATTATTCTTAGCCTTTTATCCTCAAAGCCCACGGCAATGCCTGGCACATGGTAGGCAGTCCATAGAAATTTGTTGACTGAATGAGTGAAGGATGATGAACAAATGAAGGTCTTAGTGACTGGCCAAGGCAAAGATGGCAAGGCTGAGACCATAGCCAGGTATTGCTATTTCCAGTCCAGATCGCCACACTTCTCAACAAAGAGCTTGCCCTAGATTTTTATTCCAAATTACTAGAACCAAAGCAACATCACAGCTCATTAATTCCAGTTTTTGCCCATACCATTTCCCACAGATGGAATTTATTCATCAAGGGAATGCCATAGGTATAGCAGTTTTTCTTTTTTCCATGAAACACATCTATCTTCTTGCTTCTTGTGAAGGAGTATTATGATAAACCATGCCACTATTTGAAACTTGTAAAGGTTCTTGAGATTCTGAGAAAAAATACAAGGTGTGACTCAAGAAGATCAATTTTGTCTCTTGCAATAGAATCTCCTGTTTGAAAAATGCTATTAATTTTAACAACTATTATCCTTAAAAGAGATTTTTATTAGATGGGATAATCATCATCATATTCCCAGCTGCTGTGTATATACTTTCTATTAAAAGTATCTGTGGTATGGAAGCACCTTGTGTGTTTTATAAAAGCCACATAAAATGTTCAGTGATTCGAGGAGCGGCTGCTGTATTTATATGAAAAAGAGGCTCAGTGTTATCTTGCAGAAGCTTGGAAGTCTGACTCTCAAGAGTCTTTTTCCCGTTGATGAAAATGGAATCATTTTTTTAACTCCCCTTGCTCACATCAGGGACTCCACCCTGCAGCCAACCCACTGGTTATAAGTACCCATGAATCACCTTGCGGATTGTAGGCAGGGTAACCTACAAAGGCCAGTTAACACCAAACTCCTGGTAAGCTTGTCTGCCCTTTCTGTGTGTTTCAGTGTCCATTTCACACCGTAGGGTGGAAGACAGTCTCTACCCACTCTGGTATGGTCTGCGTCTGTGTGTCTCAGGTGTATGTAGAAGGTGTTATTTCTCAGTTCAGGGCTTCTGAAGTAATTTTCTTTTTTTTCAAACTGCTGTCTTAAGACTAAAAAGTAACTTCAGGTTTTGTTTTGTGTTGCTGTTTTTAAAATTGCAGTTTCTTTGGAAACGACAAAATATGAAAAAGCACACTCAGACTTTCTGGGTATGTTCATGATTGCTTTGCTTATCACTGTATGACATCCTCATTATTAGGGCTACTTTAAGCTAATCAACTGGATTTGGGGCCCACATTTGCAAGTGAATCCAGAGAAAAGATGGCTACAAAATTTAGGTAAGCCAATACACTATTTCTCCTTCTTTGTCTGCCGTTACAGATGTTTCCTCTTCTCTCTCCTCTCTGACCATCTCTCCCCATGATCATCTATAGTCCCCTCACTGCTCCTTTCCCTTGGCTTCACTTCAATATGTCCCACGCACCCCTCTGGCTGTTGGACGTTGTCCTGGTACTCCTTGGGCATGTGGACAGAGCCACGCTGAGAAATGACAAATGGAAGCCACTGAACAACTCCAAAAACTGAGATCTGGTAAGAAAATCCCAGGGCGTGCTGGCTGCAGAGGGGAACTGCGTCCCTCTGGATTAATGTAAACAGTATTTCAGAGCACAGTGGAGGGGGCTCCTCAGGATTGAGAGGATTTCCCAACACAACTGGACCAAGGTCTTGCTAGCTTAGTGGCAGGTGTCCTATAGTTCTTTGGCCGATTTACATTGGTTTCTGTAATCATTTGTAAATGATCTTGTATACACTTTGACTTTATAGCCTTAATTTCTAATACATACACAAAATCAAGAGAGTAACAGGGAATTGCCTTTTGCACAGCTTAGACTGAACTGATGATAAAAACAGACGGGTTATCATATAACTAATACTTGTAAAGCTCCAATTGCAAAAATTGAACGTTGGCCCTGCATAGTTATCAATTTACTAGGCATATTTTTTCAAGATACCATTACCTAGAAAATATAATTTACAAGATAAGTAAAAATCCTCTTTTAAAAATATGCCAAATACAATAAACATGTTGACATGACTATTTCAAAACATAGTTTTTCTAAAGAAGATAATGTGAAATACAATATAGAATTAAAATGATAAAAGTTGTGCGCTTTGCACAGTTTCTACGTGTTCATTTAGTAATGGAAATCTGCAAGACCCATGTAAGAAAAGAAACTGTTGCAGAAGGCAGTGACTGGGCTCTCACCTTCTGGAGAGGAGACGCAGAGAGGATCATCCTGGAGTTCAAGTGCATCTCTGACCTCTGTACTCTGAGGTGGTTCACTAAGATAATTGATATTCCTCCTTTAATTTCCCTAGTTTTCAGCCCAAATGGTAAATTATCTTGTTTAGGGTCGAAATGTCAGGGAGAAGGGAGGTGGGGGGAGAAGTCACTGAAGTTTGTATTTCTGTTTCTGGATTTTCATCCTTCTGCCTCCTAGATTAGCCTTAAAGTCAATCCAAGGGAAAAAAATATCCACCTTTGAGTATTTGGAGTGTCTTGCTGACATATAGTATTGAATGTTTTCTTTCTCTAGTGTTTCAGAAACCTTCAGGCATATTTTAAGGGCAGAGGTCTTGATCTTGGGAGTTTTCTGAATACTTTCCCTGTGAATGAGAATCCCAGACCTCTCTCTTTCCAATCAGAATTTATTGCTTCTGCTTTTGCAGATTATGAAGAGCAGAAAAATTCCTTTCTAAATTACCTCAAAGGCTAAAAGTTTCTTCTGAGCTCAGGTAACAGTTGGCCCTTTATTCCCAGGATCTATCCAAACATACAACTCAGCCATAAAGTGAGATTTTGGAAGCATTTATTTGAAAAATGATTTTATTTCCTCATAGAAGAGCTCAATTTTGAGTATACTTGTCATTGTTAAATATTTGGATTTGGTTCCAGTGTTTTATGGTTTCATTTAAAAAAAATGATAGTTATGATTTTTTTAGGCATAATTTCCTGGAGAGAAATATGTTAAAATAATAGGATTATCACCCTTACTAAGATTATTACATTGTTAATACATAGCCTTACTCTTTACCTATAGATTTTTCAGAGAAGGTCATATAGCTAAGTTCTGTGGAAAATCATATATAAAGGAATTTGTCAAATTGGGCTATTAGATTGGGAAATAACAGAATGATTCTTTGGGGGAGAAAAAATTATGCATATATTTGAGCTTGAACTTCCTCACTGAGAAAAAAAAGGTAGATAAATAGTAAGGATGGCATTTTTCTCATAGGAAAAATATTAAAAATTTATTTATGTTTAAGATTTGCATGTTGTTATTATTTGCATTGCTATCAAATAAATATCTACATTGTAAAAGGAACAGATAGGGTACATTCCAAGCAAACACATTGTGATTCCAGTCCATTAGCTTTTCATTCAGCTGAATAATAAATGGAATGGAATCATAATTAAAATCTTTTCCCATTCTTCCACAAGTGCACGGATGAAATTGTACGGAAGCACACCACTGTTGTACTTGTGAAGGGTTTTTATTGTTCTATTAAATGTGACCATTAAAAAAAAAGATTGTTATCCTTAAAAGATGTAATTTACCATATGGAATATGCACTTGAATACAGTCATAACATGAAAAAATAAAATGGAATAAACAGAAAGATATGATTGAGGTTTTCCCTTGACCATTTTCACATTTAGGCCCTAGGGTAACAGAGAATAGTTATTGATACCATAGCACCTACTTTGGTATGAAGCAGATAAGTTGCTGGTAAGTCTCAGTTTCTTGATCTATAAATTGCAGTTACTAATCTCTATTCCATAGAAAATATCTTGGAAAATATCAAATAAATGTTTTCATGTGAGTGTGGACCAAGGTGATGGTTAAGGAGAGGAAACTGATAAAACACCCAGGTGGTGGTATTGTTTAATATAATGGGAAAGACTCAACTTTGTGAAAGAAGCAGAGCTTCTGATTTGGAGTATATTTTACAATTACAAGCTCTACATTCCTAACATCTCTGACGAAAAAAAGTTTTATTGGAGGGTGGTGCCTGTGGCTCAAAGGAGTCGGGTGCTGGTCCCATACCCCGGAGGTGGTGGGTTCAAACCCAGCCCTGGCCAAAAACTGCAAAAAAAAAAAAAAGTTTTATTGGAATGTATTGATTTGGGGGTCTTTGGGTTGACCAGATCGTATTCGTTTTGTATTTCATTATAACATTTTCTTGTTTTTTCAGGGGTCTATTTTAAACTACAAATGAAGCTTCAGATTAGAAACTTTCAGCCACAGTCACAGCTAAACTTTCGTGGGGTTCCCCCCTCCATTTGCATTTGTCATTTGTAATTATTTTGTTCTACATTACCAGATTTACACATAAATAGCTGGAACTATGCAACTTATGTGCATATTTTTAGAGTGTTTTTCCCATCTACAGCCATAAATATTTTTGTTGAGTACTGCATGTATTTGTAGGAATTAGGAAACCACCACAAAGTGCAAAGAGATGAAACTCTTCTAAATTAGATGGTTTCTTTAAGCTTATTTGTAAAAATGTGTCTTTTGTGTCCTTTGCCAATTGATATTTTTATTTGATAGGGACATGCTCATTTTTACTACAGTGAAGTTCATTATATGTAATAGAGGTTTGGGTTTGAAATTTGTCTTTTTTTCCCTAAAAAGAAGACGCATTCCCACTTTCAGCATATGCTATTATAATAAAAGACCTCACAGTTTTAGTTTCATATCAAATGCGAGTAAGTGATAAATAGCCACAGAAAGCAAAGAAACATGGGATCCTAAGAGTTGTCAAGTTCTCTGGGAGATGCTCTTTGCTAAACCATTCAGAGGTAGACACCAAATATTCTAACTAGGCTCCAGCCCTCGCTCTCCTGCACACAATCTCCTCAAGAAAGGAGAGTAGAACAGTTAATTTCCCTTCCTTTCCAGCCAACTCCCCATCCCACCCCCAGCTCATGCTGAGTTATTCTGATTCTCATATGCATCTTTATGAATAGCTGTATAATTTTCTCTGTGCTTACTGTAAAGGGAAAATTGTATTCATCAGTGTTGCAGACTGTATATAAACATCAGTGCCCTAATACCAGTAACACTGATGTGTATATTCCAAAATCGTTTACTGTGGCACTTTTTGTGGATGATGATAATGGATATCAAGAATAAAATATTTGTACAAGAATAGATTCTACTTTGGTTTAAAATGTTCTTTTGTAATTAGTTGAATATGTGTTGATTTTCCCTAGAGCATTCTGAGTTCTTTGTGAGCAGGGATCATAATTCATCTTTATTTCTAGCACCTAACACAATGCTTTGCATGTAGCCAGTGTCAGTAGATACTTGGTGAAGTAAATGTGCTATTCAGCTATTCTTCACACACTGCTTTTGGTTAATGTCAAGATTTTTTTACTATTTAAAAACATAAGTAATTATTGATGATCTATTTCTTATAAAAGTATAACTTATTCAGATAAATGCTAAAAGTGGAAGAGAGTGTTTCACCACTGTTGAGTTCCATTCCAGTGTAGTGACTGGTTTTCCCTTTCTCACCACTACCCCTGCTCTGGGTGTCAAGATCTCCTCAAAAGGAAGGAGTGCCTATCAGTTGCAGGGTCTTTGAAGAGAAAGAGCATCCACATGGGACAGTTAGCTGTGAGCTTGCAAAGTCTTAAGACAGGGGCATGTATCTTTCAACTAGAAAATTCCTTGTAATTGGCAGTAGCTGGAAATGGAAGCCCATGCCTCACACTAACTAGACTTCCTTAATGGTAGTGCTCTTTGCAGTTGGGGAAGGTCAGCTCCTCACTGTGTGTGCCTGTCTCACACACCTGGTCCCCAGTCACCCTGTGTTAATAGTTACCCATCTCTGCCCTATTGTTTTGACAATCAAAACCTTCCTACACACATTCCTAAAAGCCCAGTGGGGAAGTGATTTCACTATTGGCTAAGAGTAATTGGTAGAAAATAGCAGAAACATAATGTTTCCTCTAGTGGAAATTAATGTTCTGCAGGTACTCTAGACTCTCAAGGGATCCATGGTAGTTCTTTATATAGGTCCTTGTCAGCCTCTCAGTAATGACTCTACTTCTCTTCAGTGAGTACCCCATTCCCTAGTGTTTTTCTACCATTTTTATTTCATGGCATACCAGAACCTATAGTTATACTTCCTGTCCAGGTGTGGTGGGTCACAAATGTAATCTTAGCACTCTGAGAGGCCACGGTGGGTAGATTGCTTGAGCTCAGGAGTTTGAGACCAGCTTGAGCAAGAGTGAGACTCCATCTCCACTAAAAATAGAAAAACTAGCAAAAAACTAGCCAGGCGTGGTGGCACACATCTGTAGTCCCAGCTACTTGGGAGGCTGAGGCAAGAGGATCACTTGAGCCCAAGAGTTTGAGGTTGCCGTGAACTATGATGATGCTATAGGACTCTACCCAGGGCAACAAAGTGAGACTCTGTCTCAAAAAAAAGAAAAAAAATATATATGTATATATATATATATATTCTACTTATGTTCTCTTACCTGGCATCTGGCTTTTTCAGTTCATGGCAGCTTATTCTGCCATTCTACCACCAATTATCTTCTCCTGGATTCTCATAAAAATGGCTAGATGATAGGCTTCCCGTAACTTGTCTCTGCATATTGACCTACATACTCGGTACTTCAACTCCCTTGCTCAAAGTTCCAAAGGCACTTCCAATTCCATCCAATTTAATTCACAAATGTGTTCTGAGTACAAATTATTAGGCTATGGAGGAGGGTTTACAAACACACATCAGATAGTGCTCTTATCAAGATGTTCATAGCTATCGTCTCTAGAATGAATCAGATATGCAGAGAAATAGGTAATACTAGGTGAAATACACATCACCAGAGGGCGCAAAAGTTCCCATTGTGGGAAGGGCACATGTCATCATAATTCCAAGCATGAGATTTGGAGAAACCAGGGTTCAAATCCTGACTCTGCTACTTATTAGATAAGAGATTTTTGTTAATGACATTAACAACATCCACCTGTAAGGATTATTTTGGGCCATGTGATAGGTATAAAACGGTAAAGGGCCTACAGTAAATGATAACCATATTAAGTATACGGTTCTTTCCACAAGTTTTGACTATTAGAAAAAGAAGAAAACTTGGGTGAGAATTAGAGGTTGGAACCCAGATGAACCTGGGTAGGGCCCAGATGAACTTCTTTACAGTTTGAGAAGGAGGCTGAGGAAAGGGAGAGTTTGAAGATTGGTGGAAAAAGGGACAATATAAGGTGCTGGAGGGGATGGGATTTGATGCGTAAATTACGGAGAACTTGAGCTGTCTGCGGCAAGGGAGAACTGGCCAGAGAAACACTGACGCTGCAGAACAAATTGTTAAATTCAGGGGGAAAGTTACTACAGCAAAGACTAAAGAACATTCAGAAAAGAAAATGGATTGGAGAATGAAACATCTTAGTGAAGAACTGAGGGAAATTAGATTAAAGAAAATCTCTTTAAAGTACAGGTTTTGGCTCGGCGCCTATAGCTCAACCGGCTAAGGCGCCAGCCATGTACACCTAAGGTGGCGGGTTCGAATCCCCAGCCCGGACCCGCCAAACAACAATGACGGCTGCAACCAAAAAATAGCCAGGCGTTGTGGCGGGCGCCTGTGGTCCCAGCTACTTGGGAGGCGGAGGCAGGAGACTCGCTTGAGCCCAGGAGTTGGAGGTTGCTGTGAGCTGTAATGCCATGGCACTCTACCCAGGGGGACAGCTTGAGGCTCTGTCTCAAAAAAAAAAAAAAAAAAAGTCTAAAGTACAGGTTTTGCAACTGTCTAACAATCTCAAACAAGAAGCCAGAGGAAGGCGGGCGGAGATAGCCCCACCCGCTGTGCCGGGAGAGTCGCACCCACTTCTTCCCCCGCGCCGCGGAAGTAGGCCGGGGCTTCCAGCGCACACGGAACCTGAGCGCCGCGATAACAGCGCGGGCCGGGCAGGTTTTTCGGAGGGACGCAGCGTTCCTGCTCGCGCCGGCGCGAGACACAGCCTGAGGGGCGCAGCGTTTCCGGCTCTCTGTCGCAGCTGCTGGAGCTGCTTAGATTGCCTTTGCAGACATGTCGGGGTTCAGCCCGGAACTCATCGACTATCTGGAAGGGAAAATCTCCTTTGAGGAGTTCGAAAGACGGAGAGAAGAGAGAAAAACCCGCGAGAAGAAAGTGAGGCGATACTAAACGGAATGTTCTTCAGTTTCTCCTCCCCCGATGCACTTAGTGATGCGGGGGACCCAGATGAGCCCTATTGCTGTGATGAAGCGGACTGGGAACTCCAGCAGCTTCTTCCCCTTCTTACAGAAACTCTAGTTCTTACCCCTCCTTTTTCGTTGTGCTGAGTATCTCTTAAAAATGTCTCCCCCCACCTGAAAGCTTTTGTCTCGGTGGTAACCTCTTTTCTTTTGCCTGATACTGAATTTTTGAGGGTAGTTTAACGCCAGTAGGTTAAACGAGGGTGGGGAGAAGAGTTTGGAGTCACTACCTTTGTCGTGAGTCGTTTTGCGACAGTGGGTGTTAAACTCACCTCTGTTTTTGTAGGCCTTAATTTCTCTACTTCTAAACAGAAATTGTTGAGCTACGTGAACTTTCCATATTTCTCACTCATTTAAAGCCGAAGGGGAAATAAGTTATTGAACCTTTTGAAGTTAGCTGGTAGATTCTTTCCTAATTCATGGGACAGTATTAGGATACAATGTGTAGATTAATGAAATCATTAAGATATTAATTATTTTTTACAAATGACTGGTTGAGGCTGAAGGGTAAAATGTAAGTACTTTGAAATGCTTTGGCAATATTCACATTTAGATTCCACATGCTATGTATGTATATAAAGTTGAAGTTTATAGAAGTAGAAAATAAAGTAAATGCCTTATTCTGTAAATGACCCACCCATGGTCACAAAATTACTGACAAAGCTAGGACTAGAACCAGATACTCTTGATTGGAGAGAACTAGATTTGCATTAGTTTTGGGAATCGTTAATTAATTTTTCAATCACAGAGTCTTCAGGAAAAAGGAAAGTTATCAGCTGAAGAAAATCCAGATGACTCTGAAGTTCCATCATCATCAGGAATTGTCTCTACCAAATCTCAAGACAAAGATGCCAGTGAAGGTATGTTAAGATCAGCTGCTGCCTGCCTTAAGTATTAAAAGAGTATCTAAGCAAAGTAATTTAGTTAAAACATTGCACTGATATTCTGTTGTTGATTATCTAATTTATCAAAAGCATCATGCTTGGTATATAGTAGGTACTAATAAATATTTGTTGACTTATTCAATATAGTGATGGTGGGCAGTGCCTGTGGCTCACTGGGTAGGGCATCGGCCCCATATACTGAGGGTGGTGGGTTCAAACCCAGCCCTGGCCAAACTGCAACAAAAAATAGCTGGTGTTGTGGCGGGTGCCTGTAGTCCCAGCTACTTGGGAGGTTGTGGCAAGAGAATCGCCTAAGCCCAGGAGCTGGAGGTTGCTGTGAACTGGGATGCCACAGCACTCTACCGAGGGTAACAACATGAGACTCTGTAAATGGTGATGGTTATTTTTGTGAGTTCTAGTGTTGGAAAAGTGTTTGAAATTGGCATCAGTATTTGAGAGTCTTTTTTGCCCCTCTCATTTGGTAACTATTTACTTCCAGCTTATACTCCCCCAAATTGTAATGAAGTATAGTTTTTCCAAACCACAGCTTAAGTTATAGGGAGAGGATATAGAAATTATAGAGCGGAAGGCCAACTGGTTGCTCAGATGGGACCTTACACACAAATTATCTTGGTATGCTACCTCATTCTAGGATCTGGTCCTTAGCTTTGCATGTCTGGATATTAATTTTGATTAGTACATACAATCTAATTAAACTCATCAGAGTCTAATTGGTGAACTAGTATGCAAATTTACCTCTTTCTGGTGATAGGAATGTTTGTAATAGCTTGGCTATCCATTTTCTACCCATGTCAAGTTATTTGGGTTGCTGAATTGTCAATTAGAGTGTAGATTTGTGTATAGGATCTGATTTAGAGCTAAACAAACTTTCTAGTTCTGGGGGTAGAAGTAGAGGCTGGCTCTTTTCCCTCTATAAGCCTTTATGCAGAGAACACACAATCAGGATGGGCAGAAAAGAGACTTACTTTATTCCTAGCTCTCTGGACCAGGTGGGGAAGAAGGGACAAGTGGAGGGAAAACTGAGTTTACAGTTTTTTACTTTGAGGGGCAAGTGGGGTGGAAAAGGGGGCTGAAGTTGTTCTGACAATCTCTGGGTCCCAGGCAAACACAGACTGGGTGGCTTCAGCCCAAATAATCTTGTCAGTTTTTTAGGATATACAGTTTATAATTTTTTAGGAAGCAGTTGTCCCAGAAGTCTGCCAACACTCTTGGTGAGTGTGAGCATGTCTTCACAGCATGTCAGTTTGAAACAAGTTTTGGTGAAGTCTTCTAATTGGATGGAATATATGGCCTCTAGGGTTTTTGTGTTGTTCCTCCTTGATACCACTGCTGAATACCACTGCTAAATTCTTGCCTTTGAGCTCTTTTGCAGCATATCACACAGACAGGGTTCTTTTATTTTCAATTCGTTGTTGCTGAGGTATAAAACTATAATTAATTTTTATATATTGATTTTGTGTCCAGCAACTTTGCTAAATTCATGTATTCTGACAGTTTGTATGTGGATTCTTTTGGATTTTCTACTTACTTAACCATGCCATCTGTGAGTAATGAAAATTTTATCTCTTATCTCTTCCTTGCCATTTTTATGCCTTTTATTTCTCTTACCCTTTTGCACTGGCTAAGACCGTCAGTAAAATATTGGGAGTTGGAGGTGGGGCTAAAGGCATCTTGTCTAATTCCCAGTAACTTTCTATAATTCATCATTAACTGTGTTTGTGGAAAGCTTTTTGTAGGTACTCTTCATGCAGTTAAAGTTACTCCCTTTCGTTTTCAGTGGACCAAGAATTTTTATTGGGAATGGGTGTTGGATTTTATGAAATGCTACTTTTTATCTGTTAAGATAAATCATATATTTTTTTTTTTTTAGAGACAGAGTCTCACTTTGTTGCTCTCGGTAGAGTGCATTAGTGTCACAGCTCACAGCAACTTTCAGCTCTTGGGCTTAGGTGATTCTCTTGCCTCAGCCTCCCGAGTAGCTGGGACTATAGGTACCCACCACAACACCTGGCTATTTTTTATTGCAGTTTGGCTGGGGCAGGGTTTGAACCCGCCACCCTCAGTATATGGGGCCAGTGTCCTACTCAACTGAACCACAGGCTCCTCCCTAGATCGTATGATTTTTCTTACTTTTTTGCTTATGTGATAATTTTACACATTTCATCTTTATTTTGGATATACAAAATTCTTGAATATGATCCTTATGACTTCATAATAATTATTTTATTTGTTGAAGTGATAGAGTGATAGTTTATTGAGGAGAGATAGGAAATAAAGGCTAGCTAGCAAAGCTTCCAATACAATGGAAGGAGTCCCAAATGGGTTGCCCCATAGTAATTATTTAATGATCAGAACATGTGGCTTTAAAAATCTGTTCTTCACAAAACATAGATTATCTCATTTATTCAGCATCTTTGGGGTTTGAAGTATTTTATATAAGTGAGTAAGTTTGTATAAAATATAAGGTTTTTTGCATATATTTTTTTTGTTCGAGATAAGGTCTTGCTTTGTCACCCAGGCTAGAATGCAATACTGTCATCATAGCTCACTGTAGCCTCACACTCCTCAGTTCAAGTGATCCTCCTCCTTCAGCCTTCCAAGTAGCTGGCACTACCATGGTGAGCTGATTTTTCTAGTTTTTGTAGAGACATGGTCTCACTCTTGCTCAGGCTGGCCTTGAACTCTTTTTTTTTTTTTTTTTTTTGAGACAGAGTTTCACTATGTTTACCTCAGTAGAGTGTCGTGGCATCACAGCTCACAGCAACCTCCAACTCTTGGGCTTATGCTATTCTCATGCCTGGGCTTATGCTATTCTCATGCCTCAGCCTGCCAAGTACCTGGGACTACAGGTGCCCACCACAATGCCCGGCTATTTTTTGGTTGCAGTTGTTGTTGTTTAGCAGGCCCGGGCTGAGCTCTAACCCTCCAGCCTTGGTGTATCTGGTTGGCGCCCTACTCACTGAGCTATAGGTGCTGAGCCTGGTCTTGAACTCTTGACCTCAATTGATCCTCCTACCTTGACCTCTCAAAGTGCTAGGATTACAGGCATGAGCTATCACATCTGGCCAGGGTTTTGAATACAGTATATACACGTATTCAAAATGTTAACTACTTTGTTGGAACTTTTCTAATATATATTACACATCTATCTTAGTTTTTTCTCTGCTGCTTCTAATAAAATACCTGAAACTGGGTATTTTTATAAGGAAAAGGAATTTATTTTTTATAGTTAGAGAGGCTAAGAAGTCAAGGTTGAGGGACGGCGTGTAGTGAGGGCCTTTTTGTGGGGACTCGTGAGTTCTGAGGTAGTATAGCTTATTACATGGCAAAGAGGGCTGAGTGTGCTAGCTCAGGTCTCTTTTCCTCTTAAAAAGCTACCAGTCCCATGTTCATGTAACCCGTTAACCTAGGAATAGATTTAGGCTCCAGTCTCCTCTTAAAGGCCCCACCTTTCAATATTGCCACATTAGGGGTTCAATTTCAACATGAATTTTGGAGGAGACAAACATTTATATCATAGCAATGTCTCTGCTTTAACAGAAAATTGGCTTCTCTACTTGGCCTTTTTTTTTTTTTTTTTTTAATTTTTTAGGGTCATTATGAATATACAAAAATCATTTTACTATAGTGGTATCCTAAGGTACATGTGAAATATGTCATTTTGTTTCTGAAATAATAATGCTGTTCTAATACTAATAGTAACATTTTGGAGACAGAGTCTCACTTTGTTGCTCTCGGTAGAGT